ACTAACGGAAAATGAAACGCCCGGTGCAGCTGCTGAAGGCACCTACGCACGTTCAGACAATCCGTCAACTGCGTGGAAACCGTGCCTGATCGCGAGAAATGGCTTCAATCAAGATCGCCGAAGTAGTGACCGTGGGCTCAATCAGGACCAACGCGGTCGACGTGACTCCAACCGCGACAGCCGACGCCCACAGTACGGACCATGCGCGGTGTGCGGTGGCATGAGTCACTCCGCCCACTACTGCAACAAGCGATGCAAGTTCTGCAAGCAGCTCCACGATGCTGGACAATGCGAACTTTTCCGCAACTTCTAAGACCTTGCCAAATTCGTGCGCACTAAAGGCACGAAGGAGGAACTCCCGCCAGAGCTCAAGGCCGTCGTTCAAGAACGTCATTTATACTAGGCAGCCCGCCAACTACAACTTGGTTGGTCCCTATCGGGCTGCCACAGTTAACCGAGCCTTCAATGGAAGCAGAGTGTATCTTTGCTTTCATGGGGCAGAGTGAATGGCCTGATAATTACGTAACAAGTGTGAACGCGACGGAAAATGAAAAGGGGAGGAGTAGGATCCTCGGTGGAGGTGTTGGAGAGAGAGTGGAGTGTGCTGATGCTGATGAGGGCACCAGCGAGGGTTCGTTCGGCTTGGTTTCGAGTGCAGCGCGAGACGAGCCCAAGGGTCACTCCAAGATGATGAAGTTGAACCCTGGCGAGAGACAGGGGTGGTGGTCGGCCAAGAAATTCGACCGACGGATCAGAATGAGAGCTCTGGTGCAAGGCGCTGTGAACGACCAGCGAACGAGGATCCTCCTCGACACAGGAGCGAACGTTAGTGTGATCACTGACGCCTTTGCCAAGAAGTTGCGACTCCGAGATGTACCTGATCACGGACGCCGCATTGACATTCAAGGAATCAACGAAGGCGAGGTGTCTACGACGCGACGTAGCGTGTACGTATGCAAGTGTTTGGCCTTTCGTTTGGCGTTTGTTTTGATTAATAGAAGGTGCTCCCAAAATAGTCTAGGCGGGTTAGGAGTACGGTGGCTTTCCACCCACGCCGACCCGGGGTTCGAGTCCCCGGGTTTGGGAATTTTGGCTTTGCTTTTTCAATTTCTTCGTTTCCGCCACGTATATAGCGCTCGTTGTGCTTGCTGGTACGACGTTCGGATGACTGTATGGCCGGTGATGGAGAGTGGTTCGGCTTAGCACTCGCAGGGGCAACGACCAACCGGAGGGTAAGCGTGGCGAGAACGGCGGTATCTAATTCAGGTTCACAACAACAGCTCCTGCGTGGTAAAGGTCTTTGAAGGTGCTGGATGCAATGTTGAAGGCGGCAATGCGCGTGGCCTTGATGTGGTGCGCTTGGTTGTGTGTGAGTATGCGTGTGTTTGGCCTTTTGTTTGGCGTTTGTTTTGGTTAATAGAAGGTGCTCCCGAATAGTCTAGGCGGTTAGGATACGTGGCTTTCACCCACACGACCCGGGTTCGAGTCCCGGTTTGGGAATTTTGCTTTGCTTTTTCAATTCTTCGTTCCGCCATGTATATAGCGCTCGTTGTGCTTGCTGGTACGACGTTCGGATGACTGTATGGCCGGTGATGGAGAGTAGTTCGGCTTAGCACTCGCAGGGGCAACGACCAACCGGAGGGTAAGCGTGGCGAGAACGGCGGTATCTAATTCAGGTTCACAACAACAGCTCCTGCGTGGTAAAGGTCTTTGAAGGTGCTGGATGCAATGTTGAAGGCGGCAATGCGCGTGGGCTTTGATGTGGTGCGCTTGGTTGTGTGTGAGTATGCGTGTGTTTGGCCTCTTGTTTGGCGTCTGGTTTTGGTCAATAGAAGGGGCTCCAAATAGTCTAGGGCTGGCTAGGGATACGTGGGCTTTCTCCCCCGCCAACCGGGGTTCCAAGTCCCGGTTTGGGGAATTTTGCTTTTGCTTTTTTCAATTCTTCGTTCCGCCATGTAATAAAGGCTCGTTGTGCTTTGTGGGAACTACTTCCGGTTGACGCAGGCCGGAGAGAAGAGAATACCGGCTATGACTCCCCAGGGGCA